TGGCATGTAGAGAGCGTCTGATGGTTGTTTTGGAGACTTTGTGACCCCAAGATGCCACTCTTTGATGCAATTCTGTGACAGTGAGTTTAGGACTTTTTTTTACTTCTCTTACCATCCTCCTCACTGTGCGTTGTGGCAAGATAAACTTGGGACCTCTTCCAGCCTTGTTTGTCACTGTTCCAGTTGTTTTAAACTTCTTAATGATTCCTCTGACTGTAGATACGGGCAAGTTAAGGCGAGTGGCTATTTTCTTGTAGCCATTGCCTGACTTATGAAGGTCGACACAAATCTGCCTTACTTGAATGGTGTGTTCTCTTGTCTTTGCCATGTTGACAAATGGGTTAGAGAATTAGGCCTCTGTGTCACGTCATATTTATACCCCAGGGAAACAGGAAGTCATGAATTACTAATTGAAAGTTCCTAGATACCCTGACCAACTTTAGCAACTACAGAAAAATATATTTTTTAAAAAATCAATTAAAATTTTCAGCGGAATTGTTAGGGGTGCCAATAATTGTGGGACACATGATTTCAAGTTTTTATTTTTCTAAAAGTGTGATTTTTTTTTTTTACCACCAAAGTAATGTACTTAAATAAAAGGTTGAATTTTTCAATTTTTTTGCATTTGGGTTCTATGTTGTTTAAAAAAAAAGGAGAATTTTTGGAAGTCCTCAACCACATCTTAAACAGGGGTGCCAATAATAGTGGAGGGCACTGTGTGTGTATATATATATGTGTATATATATATGTGTATATATATATGTGTATATATATTATGTATATATACTATGTATATATGTGTATATATATATATATTATGTATATATACTATGTATATATGTGTATATATATATATATACTGTATATATGTATATATATATATATATATATACTGTATATATACTGTATATATGTATATATATACAGTGGGGAAAAAAAGTATTTAGTCAGCCACCAATTGTGCAAGTTCTCCCACTTAAAAAGATGAGAGAGGCCTGTAATTTTCATCATAGGTACACGTCAACTATGACAGTCAAAATGAGAAAACAAAAACCAGAAAATCCCATTGTAGGATTTTTTATGAATTTATTTGCAAATTATGGTGGAAAATAAGTATTTGGTCAATAACAAAAGTTTCTCAATACTTTGTTATATACCATTTGTTGGCAATGACACAGGTCAAACGTTTTCTGTAAGTCTTCACAAGGTTTTCACACACTGTTGCTGGTATTTTGGCCCATTCCTCCATGCAGATCTCCTCTAGAGCAGTGATGTTTTGGGGCTGTCGCTGGGCAACACAGACTTTCAACTCCCTCCAAAGATTTTCTATGGGGTTGAGATCTGGAGACTGGCTAGGCCACTCCAGGACCTTGAAATGCTTCTTACGAAGCCACTCCTTCGTTGCCCGGGCGGTGTGTTTGGGATCATTGTCATGCTGAAAGACCCAGCCACGTTTCATCTTCAATGCCCTTGCTGATGGAAGGAGGTTTTCACTCAAAATCTCACGATACATGGCCCCATTCATTCTTTCCTTTACACGGATCATTTGTCCTGGTCCCTTTGCAGAAAAACAGCCCCAAAGCATGATGTTTCCACCCCCATGCTTCACAGTAGGTATGGTGTTCTTTGGATGCAACTCGGCATTCTTTGTCCTCCAAACACGACGAGTTGAGTTTTTACCAAAAAGTTCTATTTTGGTTTCATCTGACCATATGACATTCTCCCAATCCTCTTCTGGATCATCCAAATGCACTCTAGCAAACTTCAGACGGGCCTGGACATGTACTGCAGGATTTGAGTCCCTGGCGGCGTAGTGTGTTACTGATGGTAGGCTTTGTTACTTTGGTCCCAGCTCTCTGCAGGTCATTCACTAGGTCCCCCCGTGTGGTTCTGGGATTTTTGCTCACCGTTCTTGTTATCATTTTGACCCCACGGGGTGGGATCTTGCGTGGAGCCCCAGATCGAGGGAGATTATCAGTGGTCTTGTATGTCTTCCATTTCCTAATAATTGCTCCCACAGTTGATTTCTTCAAACCAAGCTGCTTACCTATTGCAGATGCAGTCTTCCCAGCCTGGTGCAGGTCTACAATTTTGTTTCTGGTGTCCTTTGACAGCTCTTTGGTCTTGGCCATAGTGGAGTTTGGAGTGTGACTGTTTGAGGTTGTGGACAGGTGTCTTTTCTACTGATAACAAGTTCAAACAGGTGCCATTAATACAGGTAACGAGTGGAGGACAGAGGAGCCTCTTAAAGAAGAAGTTACAGGTCTGTGAGAGCCAGAAATCTTGCTTGTTTGTAGGTGACCAAATACTTATTTTCCACCATTATTTGCAAATAAATGCATTAAAAATACTACAATGTGATTTTCTGGATTTTTTTTCCTCAATTTGTCTGTCATAGTTGACGTGTACCTATGATGAAAATTACAGGCCTCTCTCATCTTTTTAAGTGGGAGAACTTGCACAATTGGTGGCTGACTAAATACTTTTTTTCCCCACTGTATATGTATATTAATATGCCATTTAGCAGACGCTTTTATCCAAAGCGACTTACATCATGCGTGCATACTTTTTGTAGGTGGTCCGGGATCGACCCCTACTTGGCGTTACTGCTTATGACTACAGATACCACAATATACTATATATATATATATATTATATATATATATATTTATATATATATATATATATATGTGGTTCTTTATACTATTTATATTATATATATATTTATCTTTTTATATATGCTGTTTACATTTCCTTTTTATTCATTTTACATTTTGCCTCTTGGGCCCTCTATGGGGCTCAGGGCCTTCCCCTGTAAGCCCCTCCTGCATTAATCTGGCCCTGCCTATTTGCCTTTCTAATTATTTAGTTAATTCAGTACCTGGAAATCATTCAATATTAATGAACACGCTGGGTGCAGTAGGCTAGATGTGTAGGCTAAGTGTTATCATGAACCTGCGCGCTGCTCCAGTCTTTTTCTTATAGGTCTTTGTTGAGCTAGTGTCTACACTCTGCAGCATCACAACAGGCGCGCTGCGCTCATAGCCTATTTCCCCCCAAGAAACTGTATCACTGCCGCCTCAACATGGGAAACATATCCAGTGAATAGGGGATTAACATAAACAATATTGCAAAAGGACTCCTTACCGTTTTTTGGTATGAAAACCATTTTTTATTCTTCAAACATGACAAACGACTCGGCTCAACTGACAGACTGCGATGTGGGACACAATGCCAAAATCAGCCTTGCGGCACTCTATTCTCTAATTTGCCTGTTTGGGACTATTTTAAACCTTTTAGTTGTCTACCTTGTCGTGACATTTAAAAAACTTCGGACGGCTAGCAATGCGTTCATTGTGAATGGCTGTATAGCCGACCTGTTGGTGTGCGCGTTTTGGATGCCGCACGAGGCAGTGGAGATTTCTTCTGGTAGTCCTTTCCCCGCTGAGTACCAAGCCTTCAAAGATGCGCTCCTATTCCTCGGTATCACTGTCTCTCTTCTCTCCCATTCCCTAATAGCCGTCAACCGATACGTGTTGATTACCAAATCACCAGCGACCTATCTGTTAATCTACCAAAAAAGACACACAGAATGGATGATAATTGCGTCGTGGCTTTCGGCGCTGGGATTTCTTCTACCCTGGATCACGTCTTCGCGGTACCCACAGGAAGGATGCTCATATCTCCCGGCTTCCGCAGCATCACTGCTCAAAGGAGGGAAACCCATTCTCTCTGACCCTTTTGAAGCTAGTACCCTGGTGTTGAATATTATTGGTCAGACAATGGTTGTTTTGTATTGCTATTTCAAAATATTTCGAAGGGTGCAGATCAGTGTGAAGAGGGTCAGCATATTACATTTCCCCATCGTAAATAACCTTCCATATTCGAACCCCAGAAAGGACAAACGTTTGGGGTTCTACGTGTTGGCAGTGTGTTTCATATTCATCCTCACTACAGAGCCCCTTTTCTGGGTGTTATTAACAGCACTTTTTACCACGGTGCCATTGGAATTTAGGACTTGTTCATGGATGATTTTCTGCACTATCTTTGTTACAAACCCATTTCTCTACACGTGGAAGAACGAGGAGTTTAGAAAATCTTTCAGATCCATGCTCAAGGGAGAACTTTGGAGAGGGTCTGCAGTTGGGGTTGAGCCCATTACAATTAATACAATATCTCACCTTCTCCCAAGACATAATAGTCGAAGGGCATTTTTGGCCGAGATGAATTGAACATAATCTGAACTGCTATGACATTGGTTATTGTAAGGATACAGCTGCTACAGTGTTTTTTAGAAAGCCTACCTGACAACTCAATCGAAAATTACACTATAATGTTGCCCTCAATTGGAAAATATTAGTGATTTTTAGTCATTTAGCAGACGCTATTATCCAGAGCGATTTACAGGAGCAATTAGGGTTAAGTGCCTTGCTCAAGGGCACATCGACAGATTTTTCACCAAGTCGGCTCGGGGATTAGAACCAGCGACCTTTCGGTTACTGACACAACGCTCTTAACCACTAAGCTACCTGCCGCCCCAGTGATGCTGTTACAGCATTTTCTGTAGGTCCATTATGGAATACATTGTCAACTGGAAGCACACTCAGCAAGTTAGTAAATTGTTTGTAAAAACATTGTGTATAAAACTAGTTTGTATAGTTGAATGTATTTTTCAATATACCGTTTTATGGACCATGGTTGTAATAGTGTTATATGCAAATTGTAAATCAGTTTGTGTTCATTTTAATAAAACTATGTTTAAGTGCAAAAACTTTTTTTCAGATCTGGCTATTACAGGAGACGAGGGGTTTCTTTCAAAAGAAGCCCTTCTTTATCATCACTCTCAATCTCTCGCTCTCTCACACACGGTTTCCTTCCTGCCTTAAAGGTTTGAATTGGACAATGGCTTTAACGAGTCTATAATAACAGGAAAAGATCTTGCTCAGCCCTTCTCGTCACATGCATCCTGGAATATCCAGTCAGGTCTTTTTAAAGTAAAAGGTGGATACCTTGCACGTTGAGTGGTCAAGCTCCGCAGCAAAACAAGCTCAATATTCTACCCGAAAATGGATATGAAAAAAATGCTACTTCTGCAACTGTGTGCCTTATTCCATGTCACAGGTAAACATAATTTATATGATCAATGAATTAATATTATTAATTCCATTTAAGCTATGGACATTCAATGTATTTAATTAATGTATTTATTGTTGTTTTGTAGTCGGTAGTCAGATCGAAGAAGTAGCCATTTCACCTCCTGGGAAAGAGGTATTTGTGCTGGCAGGTTCAGCCTTCCAGTTCACCTGTGCTTGCGTAGGTAGTTGTAAAACACCACAGTTCAGGTGGACAAGAGCTAGTACTGACTCTGATGGTACGCTAACCAAAAACGGCACTCTCAAATTATCCAACGTGACGCTTGAGGATGAGGGCCGATACACCTGCGAGATAAAGTGCGATGGCAGTTCAGAGAAAAAACGAACAACTGTCAAGATGACTGTTTATGGTAAGTAGAAGAATTGTAGCATGTGATGACATAACCTCAAAAACTACTGTCAATGCCTTGAATAATGTCTTGAATAATTTGACATATTTACGCTGTAAAAGATAATGCTAGTCTACTTTAGCCAAGGCCTAAATAACTTGTTTTGCCATCATGTGAAAGAGCAAAATCACTCTCCATCAACTTCTCTCTGGTTTTACAGCTTTTAGTCAACCTGTGTTGGTGATGCCATTTATTTTGATGGAAAATGTGGCTTCTGATGTAACATGCAGTGTTGATGCATTTGACCACGTTGACCATGTCCACATAAACTGGTATCTAGGAAGTGAGCTTCTTAAAAATGAAACCCAGCAGCCATTGGATGCAGCTAAGGTGTCAGACACACTGACTCTTACTCCCCTGAGGGCCCATACTGGGAAGAAACTGACCTGTGAAGTGAAAGCAGACATGAACAACAACTCAAAACAGAGTTTTTCCTATCTAGACATACACTGTGAGTACCTTATTACAATTCAGATTGACTTTAGAATGGGTATACAGTGTCTTCGTGATAGTCCCTAGTTAATTTGTGAAAAAATAATGGTAACACTTTACTGGAAGCATCCACGTATAATGCATTATGATGCAGCTATGCATTGTGAGACTTGTCATGAGCATGTTTGAACCCCTTTTGTATTGTATTATAATCATTTTATATCCCCTTTTTATAATGTATTATAATCCTAATGATCTGGACTAAAATACCAGACAGTTTGAGACGTTTGAAAATGTTACGCATAGAGAGACATAGCAAATAAGACTTTGATATAAGACATAATGAAGGCTCATAAATGCTTTTAACAAAGTTAGTGTTACCGAAATGATTCACTGTGTTCAAAGATGTCTCCTTCCAGCCTTGATGGCAGTACTGTACACTTAATGCTTGAGCTATTGAACTGTTTGACTTATGCTGAATTACTAATTGCCCTCAAGGCGCCACTCCCTAGGCACTCATGTAGATCAGACAGGATCGGATAGATCCTTAAGCAATATGATAACAGGCTGATGGGTATAAAAGCCTTGTAAACGTCCTCAGATATCTCATAGTAACGTGTGTTGTGGCGCTCCAGATGCACCCAAGGTCAACATCAGTGCTTCCTCGTCTGGGATGGAAGAGGAGGAAGTGGTGATGAGCTGCACAGGTGACGGTCACCCTGCCCCCACCATTGAGTGGGAGAAAAAAGGGGAAATCTGGCCCAAGAATCTTCATCGACACACACAAGGAATCGTCACGGGCCGGCTTCACCGCAGCAACCAAGGGGTTTACCAGTGTGTGGCCAAGAATATGGTGTCCGAGGCAAAGGAAGAGATGAAACTGGAGGTACAATGTAAGTGTACTACTAACTGCTTTAGTCAGGGGCCAACAAGCAGGGGTTCCACATTGCTAAGCTTAAGACACCTTATCTGATGGTACTGGAAATTTAATAATATCCCCACGGTAATTGTTATGACAATACATAATATTTAATTGTACTATTTGCATTTACAAATGACAGCATTTTGACAGCTATACTCAACAAAAATATAAACGCAACATGTAAAGTGTTGGTTTCATGAGCTGAAATAAAATATCCCTGAAATGTTCTATATGCACAAAAAGCTTATTTCTCTCAAATGTCATGCACAAATTTGTTTACATCCCTGTTAGTGAGCATTTCTCCTTTGCCAAGATAATCCATCCACCTGACAGATGTGGCATATCAAGAAGCTGATTAAACAGCTTGATCATTACACAGGTGCACCTTGTGCTGGGGACAATAAAAGGCCACTCAAATGTGCATTTTTGTCACACAACACAATGCCACAGATGTCTCAAGTTGAGGGAGCGTGCAATTGGCAACACAGACTGCAGGAATGTCCACCAGAGCTGTTTCCAGATAATGTAATGTTCATTTCTCTACCATAAGCCACCTCCAATGTCGTTTTAGAGAATATGGCAGTACGTTCAACAGGCCTCACAACCGCAGACCACGTGTAACCACGCCAGCCCAGGACCTCCATATCCATCTTCTTTACCTGAGGGATCATCTGAGACCAGCGACCCGGACAGCTGATGAAACTGTGGGTTTGCACAACCAAATAATTTCTGCACAAACAGTCAGAAACCATCTCAGGGAAGCTCATATGTGTGCTCGTCGTCCTAACGAGGGTCTTGACCTGACTGCAGTTCGGCGTCGTAACCTACTTCAGTGGGCAAATGCTCACCTTCAATGGCCACTGGCACGCTGGAGAAGTGTGCTCTTCACGGATGAATCCCGGTTTCAACTGTACGGGGCAGAGGGCATTGTGTGGGTCAGTGGTTTGCTGATGTCAACGTTGTGAACAGAGTGCCCCATGGTGGCAGTGGGGTTATGGTATTGGCAGCCATAAGCTACGGACAACAAAAACAATAGCATTTTATCGATGGCAGTTTGAATGCAGAGAGATACCGTGACGAGATCCTGAAGCCCATTGTCGTGCCATTCATCCGCCGCCATCACCATGTTTCAGCATGATAGTGCATGGCCCCATGTCGCAAGGATCTGTACACAATTCCTGGAAGCTGAAAATGTCCCAGTTCTTCCATGGCCTAAATACTCACCAGACATGTCACCCATTGAGCATGTTTGGGATGCTCTGGATCGACGTGTGTTCCAGTTCCCACCAATATCCAGCAACATTGCACAGCCATTGAAGAGGAGTGGGACAACATTCCACAGGCCACAATCAACAGCCTGATCAACTATATGCGAACAACATGTGTTGCACTGCATGAGGCAAATGGTGGTCACACCAGATACTGTCTGGTTTTCTGATCCATGCCCCTGCCTTTTTTATAAAGGTATCTGTGACCAACAGATGCACATCTGTATTCCCAGTCATGTGAAATCCATACATTAGGGCCTAATTAATTTATTTCAGTTGACTGATTTCCTTATGAACTGTAGCTCAACATCTTTGAAATTGAAATGTGACATTTTTGTTCAGTTTATATGCTTCCATATTATCTATGCATTTTTAACAACATTTGTTTGATCTTTGCAGATGGACCAGCAAACACAAGTATCCAGGCCTTCTCACTGCAGGCCATGTCCTATGGGGTTCAGCTGAACCTTACCTGCTTGTCAGACATGCAACCCAAAGCCAAGCAGTACGTCTGGACCAGGATCCCAGGTATGGCCCTACCCAAGGAGGCCGTGGTTACAAACAGCCATTTAATCATAGAGAACTTCCAAGAGCACCACCAAGGCATCTATGAGTGTAGAGTGATTCACCACAGTGGGAATACAGAGAGAGCATTCTTTACCGCCTCTGTACAAGGTACGTAATAGCCACCTGTGTGTTGTCATGTGTTGTCATATTTTCTGCCTTGTAATTTTAGCATTTGTATTTATTAGGGATCCCCATTAGCTCTTGCCAAGGCAGCAGCTACTCTTCTTGGGGTCCAAACATATTAAAGCACTTACATTACATATAAAACCAAATATAAAACAGTACTTCATATGACATTATTGCACCATTACCTATCTACAATACAAGATGTTTAATACCACCATACAACAATATCACAATGTGTGCATATGCATGTGTCTATACCCTTGTGTGTGTCTCTTCACAGTCCCCGTTGTTCCATAAGGTGTATTTTTACCTGTAAAAAAAAAAATCTGATGCTACTGCTTGCATAAGTTACCTGATGTGGAATAGAGTTCCATGTAGTCATGGCTCTATGTAGTACTGTGCGCCTCCCATAGTCTGTTCTGGAATTGGGGACTGTGAAGAGACCTCTGGTTGCATGTCTTGTTGGGTATGCATGGGTTTCCGAGCTGTGTGCTAGTAGTGTAAACAGACAGCTCGGTACATTCAGCTTGTCAACACCTCTTACAAAAACAAGCAGTGATGAAGTCAATCTCTCTTCCACTTTGAGCCATGAGAGACTGACATGCATGTCATTAATGTTAGCTCTCCATGTACTTTTAAGGGCCAGCCGTGCTGCCCTGTTCTGAGACAACTGCAATTTTTACAAGTCCCTCTTTGTGGCACCTGACCACACTACTGAACAGTAGTCCAGGTGCGACAAAACTAGGGCCTTTAGGACCTGCCTTGTTGATAGTGTTGTTAAGAAGGCAGAGCAGCGCTTTATTATGGACACTGTTGTATCAATATGTTTTGACCATGACAGTTTACTATCCAGGGTTACTCCAAACAGTTTAGTCACCTCAACTTGCTCAATTTCCACATTATTCATTACGAGATGTAGTTGAGGTTTAGGGTTTAGTGAATGATTTGACCCAAATACAATGATTTTAGTTTTGGAAATATTCAGGACTAACTTATTCCTTGCCACCCATTCCGAAACTAACTGCAACTCTTTAAGTGTTGCAGTTATTTCAGTTGCTGTAGTAGCTGACGTGTATAGTGTTGAGTCATCCGCATACATAGACACACTGGCTTTACCCAGTAAATGAAAATATGGCAAATAGGAGTGGCAATATCGTCCGTTATTATCCTAAGCAATTTTCCATCCAAGTTGTCATACCTCGGTGGCTTGTCATTGTTAATAGACAACAATAATATTTTCACCTCTTCCACACTCACATTACGGAATTAAAAATTACAATGCTTGTGTTTCATAATTTGGTCAGATATACTTGGATGTGTAGTGTCAGCAATTGTTGCTGGCATGTCATGCCTAAGTTTGTTAATCTTGCCAATGAAAAAATTATTAAAGTAGTTGGCAATAATCCGTTGGTTTTGTGATGAATGAGCCATCTGATTCAATGAATGGAGCTGAGTTTGCCTTTTTTCCAAAAATGTCATTTAAGGTGCTCCAAAGCTTTTTACTTTCATTCTTTATGTCATTTATCATTGTTTCATAGTGTTGTTTCTTCTTCTTTTTATTCAGTTTAGTCACATGATTTCTCAATTTGCAATACGTTTGCCAATCGGTTGTGCAGCCAGACTTATTTGCCATTCCTTTTGCCTCATCCCTCTCAACCATACAATTGTTCAATTCCTCATCAAACCACGGGGATTTAACAGTTTTTCTTAATGGGTGCATGCTTATTAGTAACTGGAATAAGCAATTTCATAAAAGTGCAGTGTCTGTTTGCTCCTCATTACACACCACGGACCAACATATATTCTTTACATCAACAACATAGGAATCACTACAAAACGTATTGTACAGTGGGGAAAAAAAGTATTTAGTCAGCCATCAATTGTGCAAGTTCTCCCACTTAAAAAGATGAGAGAGGCCTGTAATTTTCATCATAGGTACACGTCAACTATGAAAGACAAAATGAGAAAGAAAATTCCAGAAAATCACATTGTAGGATTTTTAATGAATTTATTTGCAAATTATGGTGGAAAATAAGTATTTGGTCAATAACAAAAGTTTCTCAATACTTTGTTATATACTATTTGTTGGCAATGACACAGGTCAAACGTTTTTCTGTAAGTCTTCACAAGGTTTTCACACACTGTTGCTGGTATTTTGGCCCATTCCTCCATGCAGATCTCCTCTAGAGCAGTGATGTTTTGGGGCTGTCGCTGGGCAACACAGACTTTCAACTCCCTCCAAAGATTTTCTATGGGGTTGAGATCTGGAGACTGGCTAGGCCACTCCAGGAACTTGAAATGCTTCTTACGAAGCCACTCCTTCGTTGCCCGGGCGGTGTGTTTGGGATCATTGCCATGCTGAAAGACCCAGCCACGTTTAATCTTCAATGCCCTTGCTGATGGAAGGAGGTTTTCACTCAAAATCTCACGATACATGGCCCCATTCATTCTTTCCTTTACACGGATCAGTCGTCCTGGTCCCTTTGCAGAAATACAGCCCCAAAGCATGATGTTTCCACCCCCATGCTTCACAGTAGGTATGGTGTTCTTTGGATGCAACTCAGCATTCTTTGTCCTCCAAATACGACGAGTTCAGTTTTTACCAAAAAGTTATATTTTGGTTTCATCTGACCATATGACATTCTCCCAATCCTCTTCTGGATCATCCAAATGCACTCTAGCAAACTTCAGACGGGCCTGGACATGTACTGGCTTAAGCAGGGGGACACGTCTGGCACTGCAGGATTTGAGTCCCTGGCGACGTAGTGTGTTACTGATGGTAGGCTTTGTTACTTTGGTCCCAGCTCTCTGCAGGTCATTCACTAAGTCCCCCCGTGTGGTTCTGGGATTTTTGCTCACCGTTCTTGTTATCATTTTGACCCCACGGGGTGAGATCTTGCGTGGAGCCCCAGATCTAGGGAGATTATCAGTGGTCTTGTATGTCTTCCATTTCCTAATAATTGCTCCCACAGTTGATTTCTTCAAACCAAGCTGCTTACCTATTGCAGATTCAGTCTTCCCAGCCTGGTGCAGGTCTACAATTTTGTTTCTGGTGTCCTTTGACAGCTCTTTGGTCTTGGCCATAGTGGAGTTTGGAGTGTGACTGTTTGAGGTTGTGGACAGGTGTCTTTTATACTGATAACAAGTTCAAACAGGTGCCATTAATACAGGTAACGAGTGGAGGACAGAGGAGCCTCTTAAAGAAGAAGTTACAGGTCTGTGAGAGCCAGAAATCTTGCTTGTTTGTAGGTGACCAAATACTTATTTCCCACCATAATTTGCAAATAAATTCATTAAAAATCCTACAATGTGATTTTCTGGATTTTTTTCCCTCAATTTGTCTGTCATAGTTGACGTGTACCTATGATGAAAATTACAGGCCTCTCTCATCTTTTTAAGTGGGAGAACTTGCACAATTGGTGACTGACTAAATACTTTTTTCCCCCACTGTATGACCTCTTATACACAATATTAGGCCCAGCCTTTGGAACTTTGGTTTTTCTAGATATGGCTACTAAATTGTGATCACTACATCCAATGGATTTTGATACTGATTTCAAACAAATCTCTGCAGCATTAGTAAAGATATGATCAATACATGTTGATGATTTAATTCCTGTACTGTTTGTAACCAACCTGGTAGGTTGACTGATAACCTGAACCAGGTTGCAGGCACTGGTTACAGTTTGAAGCTTTCTTTTGAGTGGGCAGCCTGATGAAAGCCAGTCAATATTTAAATCACCCAGAAAGTATACCTCTCTATTGATATCACATACATTATCAAGCATTTCACACATGTTATCCAGATACTGACTGTTAGCACTTGGTGGTCTATAGCAGCTTCCCACCAGAATTGGCTTCAGGTGAGGTAGATGAACCTGTAGCCATATTACTTCAACAGTATTTAACATGAGATCCTCTCTAATCTTCACAGGAATGTGGTTTTGAATATAAACAGCAACACTTCCACCATTGGCATTTCTATATTTTCTGTAAATGTTATAACCTTGTATTGCTATCAATGTATCATCAAAGGTATTATCTAAGTGAGTTTCATAGGTAGTCAGAATATGAATGTCATCTGTTACTAGCAAATTATTGATTTAAAGAACCTTGTTTCTTAAGCTACATATGTTAACGTGGGCTATTTTGAGCACTTTTCTTCTGGGATGCTTACTTGTTTTTATTGCTTTACTGGGAAGCTTAGCAGCAGTAGATGTGCTCATGTTTTTTATGTTAGTGCAGGGTGAGCTGCCTCCTCGGGCTCAGTGCTAACAGTATAAATCTGGTTCCTAGGCACATGATCACTGGTTCCTAGGTAATGATTTCCTCCATCAATAAATTGATATACATGTCCTGGTAATTCTGTACATTTATAAGTCAGGGCTCTCCAACCCTCTTCCTGGAGAGCTACCATCCCGTTTTCAATCCAACCCCAGTTGTAACTAACTGATTCAGTTTATCAACCAGCTAATTATTAGAATCAGGTGCGCTAGATTAGGGTTGGAGCGAAAACCTATAGGACAGTTTCTCTCCAGGAACAGGGTGTAAGTACAGTGGGGAGAACAAGTATTTGATACACTGCCGATTTTGCAGGTTTTCCTACTTACAAAGCATGTAGAGGTCTGTAATTTTTAATAAAAATCCAGAAAATCACATAGTATGATTTTTAAGTAATTAATTTGCATTTTATTGCATGACATAAGTATTTGATCACCTACCAACCAGTAAGAATTCCGGCTCTCACAGACCTGTTTGAACTCCTTACCTGTATAAAAGACACTTGTCCACACACTCAATCAAACAGACTCCAACCTCTCCACAATGGCCAAGACCAGAGAGCTGTGTAAGGACATCAGGGATAAAATTGTAGACCTGCACAAGGCTGGGATGGGCTACAGGACAATAGGCAAGCAGCTTGGTGAGAAGGCAACAACTGTTGGCGCAATTATTAGAAAATGGAAGAAGTTCAAGATGACGGTCAATCATCCTCAGTCTGGGGCTCCATGCAAGATCTCACCTCGTGGGGCATCAATGATCATGAGGAAGGTGAGGGATCAGCCCAGAACTACACGGCAAGACCTGGTCAATGACCTGAAGAGAGCTGGGACCAAAGTCTCAAAGAAAACCATTAGTAACACACTACGCCGTCATGGATTAAAATCCTGCAGCGCACGCAAGGTCCCCCTGCTCAAGCCAGCACATGTCCAGGCCCGTCTGAAGTTTGCCAATGACCATCTGGATGATCCAGAGGAGGAATGGGAGAAGGTCATGTGGTCTGATGAGACAAAAATAGAGCTTTTTGGTCTAAACTCCACTCGCCGTGTTTGGAGGAAGAAGAAGGATGAGTACAACCCCAAGAACACCATCCCAACCGTGAAGCATGGAGGTGGAAACATCATTCTTTGGGGATGCTTTTCTGCAAAGGGGACAGGATGACTGCACCGTATTGAGGGGAGGATGGATGGGCCATGTATCGCGAGATCTTGGCCAACAACCTCCTTCCCTCAGTAAGAGCATTGAAGAGACAACGACCCGAAACACACAGCCAGGGCAACTAAGGAGTGGCTCCGTAAGAAGCATCTCAAGGTCCTGGAGTGGCCTAGCCAGTCTCCAGACCTGAACCCAATAGAACATCTTTGGAGGGAGCTGAAAGTCCGTATTGCCCAGCGACAGCCCCGAAACCTGAAGGATCTGGAGAAGGTCTGTATGGAGGAGTGGGCCAAAATCCCTGCTGCAGTGTGTGCAAACCTGGTCAAGACCTACAGGAAACGTATGATCTCTAATTGCAAAGAAAGGTTTCTGTACCAAATATTAAGTTCTGCTTTTCTGATGTATCAAATACTTATGTCATGCAATAACATGCAAATTAATTACTTAAAAATCATACAATGTGATTTTCTGGATTTTTGTTTTAGATTCCGTCTCTCACAGTTGAAGTGTGCCTATGATAACAATTACAGACCTCTACATGCTTTGTAAGTAGGAAAACCTGCAAAATCGGCAGTGTATCAAATACTTGTTCTCCCCACTGTAAATAGCAAATATCAAGGAATTAAGTGGTTAAAAAGTACTGATTTATAGATCGAGAGTCATTTGTAATAAGGAAACATAGAGGTTTTTACATGGAAGACTAACCAGTCAGAGCTTAATGCTGTTAATATTTCCAGTTCCACATCTTTAAACAGCTTAGTAATACAGGCTTTTGCATGTCTTGCACCCCATTCCCTAAAATGCCATGTTATCTAACTGTGGTGTCCCTCTGTTGTACCTGCAGCGGAGACCAAGTCTAAGGTGTTCACTCAGTTGGTGGCTGCAGTGACTGGCAGTCTTGTCAGTGGAATCACAGGAGGGATCGTGGCAGGATTCATGTTAGCTAAATGGCTCAAGTGATGCTACCTTAGATCATCTCACTGTGTGGGATCTATTCCAGAGCCATTCAGATGGTCTCACCCAGAGTGCCTTACAGTCAATTCATACAGCGAAGGAGCTTAACAGCTAGTAATGTACAGTGCCTTCAGAAAGTATTCATACCCCTTGACTTATTCCACATTTTGTTGTGTTACAGCCAGAATTCAAAATGGATTAAATATATTTTTTAATAACGTTGATTTAAGTCCAAACTGTAACTAGGCCACCCAGGAACATTCAATGTCGTCTTGGTAAGCAACTCCAGTGTATATTTGGCCTTGTGTTTTAGGTTATTGTCCTGCTGAAAGGTGAATTTGTCTCCCAGTATCTGTTGGAAAGCAGACTGAACTAGGTTTTCCTCTAGGATTTTGCTTGTGCTTAACTCTATTCTGTTTCTTTTTATTTAAAAAAAACTCCCTAGTCCTTGCTGATTACAGGCATACCCATAACATGATGCAGCCACCACCATGCTTGAAAATATGAAGAGTGGTACTCAGTGATATGTCGTGTTGGATTTGCCCCAAACATAACACTATGAATTCAGGAAAAAAAAAGTTAATTTCTTTGCCACATTGTTTGCAGTTTTATTTTTGTGCCTTTTTGCAAACAGGATGCATGTTTTGGAATTTGTTTATTCTGTATAGGCTTCCTTCTTTTCACTCTGTTAATTAGGTTAGTATTGTGGTGTTTTCTCCTATCACAGCCATTAAACTCTGTAACTGTTTTAAAGTCATCATTGGCCTCATGGTGAAATCCTTGAGCGGTTTCCTTCCTCTCCTGCAACTGAGTTAGGAAGAAAGCCTGTATCTTTGTAGTGACTGGGTGTATGGATACACCATCCAAAGTGCCATTGATAACTTTACCATGCTCAAAGGGATATTCAATGTCATCTTTTTTAACCAATAGGTGCCCTTCTTTGCGAGGCATTGGATATCCTCCCTGGTCTTTGTGACTGAATCTGTGTTTGAAATTCAATGCTTGACTGATGGACCTAACAGATAATTGTATGTGTGGGGTACAGAGATGAGGTAGTCAATCAAAGATCATCTTAAACACTATTATTGCACACAAGTCCATGCAACTTGTGTGACTTGTTAAGCACATTTTTACTCCTGAACTTATTTAGGATTGCCATAGCAAAGGGGTTGAATACTTATTGACACAAGACATTTCAGCTTTTCATTTTTAATTAATTTGTACAAATTTCTAAAAACATAATTCCACTTTGACATTATGGGGTATTGTGTGTAGGCCACTGACAGAATCTCAAAATGTGGAAAAATTCAAGGGGTACGAATACTTTCTGAAGGCACCGTATGAAGGCTAATATTGAAAGTACCTATGTCTAATCTCTGTTATTGTACTGCATATATTACCAATTACTGTGGGTGGAAAAGATAGATAGAAAGCAATTTGTTTGTTTAGCCGTTCAAAGGAACAATGGGCATTGTAATAGTCTGCATGACTGAGGAATTAAGTCATTTTCAGACGCCCAGCTTCATTATAGTTGCAATCCAGGATCTTAAGCACAACAAATTCGTAACATATAGTACGAATTAGATTTGTGACATATCATACCAATTGGATGACGTAGTACATAATTTTATGACGTAGTAAACAAAAAACGGGGACTACTTTTAACTCGTGAGCACCACTTTCAAAACTACTGGCTGAAATTCTACAGTTTGAGAATGCATCTTTAATTAAAGGAAATATTTGTGTTTGTATGGTATTTTATACACTGAGTGTACAAAACATTAGGAACACCTGCTCTTTCCATGACATAGACTGACCAGGTGAATCCAGGTGAAAGCTACAGTGAGGGAAAAAAGTATTTGATCCCCTGCTGATTTTGTACGTTTGCCCACTGACAAAGAAATGATCAGTCTATAATTTTAATGGTAGGTTTATTTGAACAGTGAGAGACAGAATAACAACAAAAAAATCCAGAAAAACGCATGTCAAAAATGTTATAAATTGATTTGCAATTTAATGAGGGAAATAAGTATTTGACCCCCTCTCAATCAGAAAGATTTCTGGCTCCCAGGTGTCTTTTATTCAGGTAACGAGCTGAGATTAGGAGCACACTCTTAAAAGGAGTGCTCCTAATCTCAGTTTGTTACCTGTATAAAAGACACCTGTCCACAGAAGCAATCAATCAATCAGATTCCAAACTCTCCACCATGGCCAAGACCAAAGAGCTCTCCAAGGATGTCAGGGACACGATTGTAGACCTACACAAGGCTGGAATGGGCTACAAGACCATCGCCAAGCAGCTTGGTGAGAAGGTGACAACAGTTGGTGCGATTATTCGCAAATGGAAGAAACACAAAATAACTGTCAATCTCCCTCAGCCTGGGGCTCCATGCAAGATCTCACCTCGTGGAGTTGCAATGATCATGAGAACGGTGAGGAATCAGCCCAGAACTACACGGGAGGATCTTGTCAATGATCTCAAGGCAGCTGGGACCATAGTCACCAAGAAAACAATTGGTAACACACTACGCCGTGAAGGACTGAAATCCTGCAGCGCCCGCAAGGTCCCCCTGCTCAAGAAAGCACATATAAAGGGCCGTCTGAAGTTTGCCAATGAACATCTGAATGATTCAGAGGAGAACTGGGTGAAAGTGTTGTGGTCAGATGAGACCAAAATCGAGCTCTTTGGCATCAACTCAACTCGCCGTGTTTGGAGGAGGAGGATTGCTGCCTATTACCCCAAGAACACCATCCCCACTGTCAAACATGGAGGTGGAAACATTATGCTTTGGGGGTGTTTTTCTGCTAAGGGGACAGGACAACTTCACCGCATCAAAGGGACGATGGACGGGGCCATGTACCGTCAAATCTTGGGTGAGAACCTCCTTCCCTCAGCCAGGGCATTGAAAATGGGTCGTGGAAGTAATTCCAGCATGACAATGACCCAAAACACACGGCCATGGCAACAAAGGAGTGGCTCAAGAAGAGCACATTAAGGTCCTGGAGTGGCCTAGCCAGTCTCCAGACCTTAATCCCATAGAAAATCTGTGGAGGGAGCTGAAGGTTTGAGTTGACAAACGTCAGCCTCGAAACCTTAATGACTTGGAGAAGATCTGCAAAGAGGAGTGGAACAAAATCCCTCCTGAGATGTGTGCAAACCTGGTGGCCAACTACAAGAAACGTCTGACCTCTGTGATTGCCAACAAGGGTTTTGCCACCAAGTACTAAGTAATGTTTTGCAGAGGGGTCAAATACTTATTTCCCTCATTAAAATGCAAATCAATTTATAACATTTTTGACATGCGTTTTTCTGGATTTTGTTGTTGTTATTCTGTCTCTCACTGTTCAAATAGACCTACTATTAAAATTATAGACTGATCATGTCTTTGTCAGTGGGCAAACATACAAAATCAGCAGGGGATCCCACGGGGGTCCAGAATGGAAAAAAATTAAAATAAGAGATAAGAGCGTCTGCTAAATGACGTAAATGTAAATGTAAATGGGATCAAATACTTTTTTCCCTCACTGTATGATCCCTTATTGATGTCACCTGTTAAATCCACTTAAGTCAGTGTAGATTTGTATTTTCATGTATTAGAATTCAAAATGTTTAATATCACAATGTGTGCGTATGCATGTGTCTGTACCTTTTGTGTGTGTCTCTTCACAGTCCCCGTTGTTCCATAAGGTGTATTTTTACCTGTTTTTTAAAAATCAGATTCTACTGCTTGCATTAGTTACCTGATGTGGAATAGAGTTCCATGTAGTCATGTGATGAAGTCAATCTCTCTTCCACTTTGAGCCATGAGAGACTGACATGCATGTCATTAATGTTAGCTCTACATGTACTTTTAAGGGCCAGCCGTGCTGCCCTGTTCTGAGACAACTGCAATTTTTATAAGTCCTTCTTTGTGGCACCTGACCACACTACTGAACAGTAGTCCAGGTGCGACAAAACTAGGGCCTTTAGGACCTGCCTTGTTGACAGTGTTGTTAAGAAGGCAGAGCAGCGCTTTATTATGGACACTGTTGTATCAATATGTTTTGACCATGACAGTTTACAATCCAGGGTTACTCCAAACAGTTTAGTCACCTCAATGTGCTCAATTTCCACATTATTCATTACGAGATGTAGTTGAGGTTTAGGGTTTAGTGAATGATTTGTCCCAAATACAATGCTTTTAGTTTTGGAAATATTTAGGACTAACTTATTCCTTGCTACACATTCCGAAACTAACTGCAGCTCTTTGTTAAGTGTTTCAGTTATTTCAGTTGCTGTAGTAGCTGACGTGTATAGTGTTGAGTCATCCGCATACATAGACACACTGGCTTTACTCAAAGCCAGTGGCATGTCGTTAGTAAAGATGGAAGGGGAGGAGACAGGTTAAAGAAGGATTTTTAAGCCTTGAGACAATTTTAGACATGGATTGTGTATGTGTGCCATTCAGAGGGTCAATGGCCAAGACAAAAGTTTTACAGTAACTGCCTTTGAATGGGGTATGCTCGTAGGTGCCAGGCTCACCAGTTTGAGTGTATCAAGAACTGCAACGCTGCTGGGTTTTTCACGCTCTACAGTTTCCCGTGTGTATCAAGAATGGTCCACCACCCAAAGGACATCCTGCCAACTTCACACAACTGTGGGAAGCACGGGATTCAACATGAATTGAGGCTGTTCTGTGGGCAAAAGGGGGTACAACTCAATATTAGGAAGATGTTCCTAATGTTTTGTACATTCAGTGTATATTGTAAAGATAACAGGTTGTTCTTAACCAATCAAATAAAACTGAAATAAATTGAATGAATATCGCTGCTTGTTTTCAATGGAAGGATTTAAACCTTACCAGAAAGTCTACAACATAGGCTGTGTATGGGTTTTACTGTAATGCTATACCATCTCTATTGCGAATATGATCAGTGCCCTTCCCCCCACCCCAAACACACGCTTGTTATATTTTTGTAATGTTTTGAAGTAAAGAGATTTTCAGTCACATGGGCGACGATATGAAAACAAATCCAGATATAAAAACTTTGATGAAAAATAAAGACTTTCTCAGAAACAGGACATTTCCAGGAAGTTCAACAGGCCCTTCCTTTTCCTTTGGATTGTTTCATACCAGGTGGCTATCTAAGTGTTTCAGGGCTTTTCTCTAAGAGGAGCCACTGTGCTTTTAGCTGCCAGTGGTTTTATAGAAACTACCCAGTGGGCAAAACCTGGTTGAAAAGATGTCAGTATTACCTTTTCTGACCACCATACTACCAGTTGGTCATAATTGTGACCTCTATCTGACCAGCTGGTCATAATTCTGACTACTATATGATGTGCTATGTTATGTAGCCTGCTGGTCATAGTTAAGACCTCATCATAACCTGGTAATGGGGGTGCTGCAGCACCCTCAGCACCCCTACTTCACGCAGCTACAGTTGAAGTCAGAAGTTTACATACACCTTAGCCAAATACATTTAAACTCAGTTTTTCCACAATTCTTGACATTTAGTCCTAGTAAAAATTCCCTGTCTTAGGTCAGTTAGGATCACCACTTTATTTTAAGAATGTGAAATGTCAGAATAATAGTAGAGAGTGATTTATTTCAGCTTTTATTTCTTTCATCACATTCCCAGTGGGTCAGAAGTTTACATACACTCAATTAGTATTTGGTAGCATTGCCTTTTAAATTGTTTAACGAGTCAAATGTTTCGGGAAGCCTTCCACAAGCTTTCCACAATAAGTTGGGTGAATTTTGGCCCATTCCTCCTGACAGAGCTGGTGTAACTGAGTCAGGTTTGTAGGCCTCCTTACTCGCACACGCTTTTTCAGTTCTGCCCACTAATGTTCTATAGGAATGAGGTCAGGGCTTTGTGATGGCCACTCCAATACCTTTACTTTGTTGTCCTTAAGCCATTTTGCCACAACTTTGGAAGTATGCTTGGGGTCATTGTCCATTTGGGAGACCCATTTGCGACCAAGCTTTAACTTCCTGACTGATGTCTTGAGATGTCGCTTCAATATATCCACATAATTTTCCTTCCTCATGATGCCATCTATTTTGTGAAGTGCACCAGTCCCTCCTGCAGCAAAGCACCCCCACAGCATGATGCTGCCACCCCCGTGCTTTACGGTTGGGATGGTGTTCTTCGGCTTGCAAGCCAACCCCTTTTTCCTCCAAACATAACGGTGGTCATTATGCTCTTGTTCTGGGATTGATTTACACTTTTCGCACCAAAGTACGTTCATCTCTAGGAGATAGAACACGTCTCCTTCCTGAGCTGTATGACGGCTGCGTGGTCCCATGGTGTTTATACTTGCGTACTATTGTTTGTACAGATGAACATGGTACCTTCAGGCGTTTGGAAATTGCTCCCAAGGATGAACCAGACTTGTGGAGGTCTACATTTTATTTTCTGAGGTCTTGGCTGATTTCTTTTGATTTTCTCATGATGTCAAGCAAAGAGGCACAGAGTTTGAAGGTAGGCCTTGAAATACACCCACAGGTACAACTCCAATTGACTCCAATAATGTAAATTAGCCTATCAGAAGCTTCTAAAGCCATGACATCATTTTCTGGAATTTTCCAAGCTGTTTAAAGGCACAGTCAACTTAGTGTTTGTAAACTACTGACCCACTGAAATAACCAACCACAGTTTGCCGGGTAATGTTTCCCAATATGCCTTGTTTAATCTGAAACATACACTTCTAGATTTCAAAGGTTGTCCATTGTTTATTTCACTGTGACCACATGAACAGCTTTCTTTCCAGTACACAGTATTTCAGTGACTGAGTGAAGTGGATTGATCATGTGTCATGCTCTCCTGCCTAGTCACGGGACTAGGACTGACAGGCTACAAGTGGTCTCTTCATCACCTTCAATGGGTCTGCAATGGAAGCTGTTACATGTTCACAATATAGGCCATGCATACAGTGCATTCGGAAAGTATTCCCACTTTTTCCACATTTTGTTACGTTACAGCCTTATTCTAAAATGGATTAAATAAAACATTTTCCTCATCAATCTACAAACAATACCCCATAACGACCAAGTGAAAACAGGTTTTTAGAAAGTTTTGCAAATGTATTAAAAATATAAATCTGAAATACCTTATTTACATAAGTATTCAGACCATTTGCTATGAGAATCGAAATTGAGCTCAGGTGCATCCTGTTTCCATTGATCATCCTTGAGATGTTTCTACAACTTGATTGGGGTCCACCTGTGGTCAATTAAATTGATTGGACATGATTTGGAAAGGCACACAGCTGTCTATATAAGGTCTCACAGTTGACAGTGCATGTCAGAGCAAAAATCAAGCCATGAGCTCGAAGGAATTGTCCGTAGAGCTCTGAGACAAGATTGTGTCGAGGCACAGCTCTGGGGAAGGGTACCAAACATGTCTGCAGCATTGAAGGTCCTCAAGAACACAGTGGCCTCCATCATTCTTAAATGGAAGAAGTTGGGAACCACCAAGACTCTTCCTAGAGCTGGCCGCCCGGCCTAACTGAGCAATCGGGGGAGAAGGTCCTTGGTCAGGGAGGTGACCAAGAACCCGATGCTCACTCTGAATGAGCTCCAGAGTTCCTCTGTGGAGATGGGAGAACCTTCCAGAAGGACAACCATCTCTGCAGCACTCAACCAATCAGGCCTTTATGGTAGACCGGCCAGACGGAAGCCACTCCTCAGTAAAAGGCACATGACAGCCCGCTTGGAGTTTGCCAAAAGGCACCTAAAGGACTCTTAGACCATGAGCAACAAGATTATCTGGTCTAATGAAACCAAGATTGAACTCTTTGGCCTGAATACCAAGCGTCACGTCTGGAGGAAACCTGGCACCATCCCTACGGTGAAGCATGGTGGTGGCAGCATCATGCTGTGGGTATGTTTTTTAGCGGCAGGGACTGGGAGACTAGTCAGGTTTGAGGGAAAGATGAACGGAGCAAAGTACAGAGAGATCCTTGATTTAAAACCTACTCCAGAGCGCTCAGGACCTCAGACTGGGGCGAAGGTTCACCATCCACCAGGACATCGACCCAAAGCACACAGCCAAGACATCGCAGGAGTGGCTTCGGGACAAGTCTCTGAATGTCCTTGAGTGGCCCAGCCAGAGCTCAGACTTGAACCCGATCGAACATCTCTGGAGAGACCTGAAAAAAAGCTGTGCAGTGACGCTCCCCATCCAACCTGACAGAGCTTGAGAGGATCTGTAGAGAAGAATGGGAGAAACTCCCCTAATACAGGTGTGCCAAGCTTGTAGCGTCATACCCAAGAAGACTCGAGGCTGTAATCGCTGCCAAAGTTGCTTCAACAAAGTACTGAGTAAAGAGTCTGAATACTTATGTAAATGTGATATTTCTGTTTTTTAAAATATATATTTGCAAAAATGTCTAAAAACCTGTTTTTGCTTGGTCATTATGGGGTATTGTGTGTAGATTGATGAGGGGGAAAAACAATGGATTCAATTTTAGAATAAGGCTGTAACGTAACAAAATGTGGAAAAAGTCAAGGGGTCTGAATACTTTCCTAATGCACTGTATGTGGGAGAATACTACAGTCTGTAAATCAGACTGCTCTTATCACATGGATGTCTATGTCCTCAGATGCATTGGTGTCGTCCTAGAAATAAATTATATTGATATTGCTAGGGGTATACTTAATGCTAAATTTAGGTGGTAACCCACAGAGATAGCCTACACATATTTATGTTAATGGCGACTTACTTTTGCAAAATATATGTTGTATACATGACAGACAGACAATCAGGCAACCAGACAGATAAAATACATCCATATAGTTTATGTATGGAACATGTCTATGTTAGTTAACATATCATGTCTGTGAATTTGAGGGATCCCAAATATATTGCTCCTCAGCTAAAATATAATTTATTCACGTTTTAAAGGAAACCATTTTGAGTTCCATTTAAACCAGCAGAGGGGGTTGTGATTCACAACCAAACCAGACAAAGGGAGAGAGGGAAAGAAAGAAGAGAGAGAGAGACAGAGTCCGAGACTAGAGGCCACTCAAGGAGTGGAGGAATTCATCCATTACGTACTTGGTATTTTAAGGGGGTGTTTTAAATATCTATTTCCCCCCTGTTGCTATCCACCCTATTACAAGTGATAGATCCACAGGCTCTGGTTCTGGACACTGGGCAGACCAGACACAACATCCACAGCATAACAAAGGAGGACTAAGGACATTTACAGTCTAGCTCAATGTCTCTGTTATGGATAGTGATACTACCAGTAACAGGTAAGCTGTGATTATATTTCTATCATGCCAACAGATTAATACTTTACAATCAATGTGACTTGTCTTCAGTCTATATACTGTAGGGAGCCTACTGTGTTTCATGCATTTTAATAGATTATGGGTAGGCTTGCGATTTGAACTAATCAGAAATTGTCAGTATTGTACTTAATGATATGTACATATTTAAATGCAGCCATATTAGGCTAAATATTATAATTTACTAATAGGCCTACATTATAACCAATAATAGAGACGGAATAAAAAACTGTCATGACCTCAACATTCCCTAGACAACTTTATAATGGTGAAATACTTACCGTTATGTGTTATTGATTATGAATGTGAATTCTAATTCATTCTTATTTTTTTATTTCAGCCTTTGCATTTCACGTGGAGCTAAAACCAAAGAGTGCTTTTTTCAGAGTTGGTGATAGGCAGCAACTGCGATGCTCCGTGAAGGATTGTAACGAAAAGGTTACTATCTCCTGGGCTTTGCTGGGGGATAAGCCCATGTTTGCTAAAATACACACCTCAGGGTCAGAATCCGTGGCGGACTTTGACCCTGTGATGACAGTACATGATGACACACTTCTCTGCAAAGTCAGTTGCGGAGCATTGACGAAACAACAGCGTGCGGTTGTCAAAGTGTACTGTAAGTCCATTAAACTTGATTCAGTAAGCCATCATAAACCATTGTAATAAGCCAATATAAAATGCATATGAATGCTTATAAGGTTGTCAATGATTATTATCAATATTATGAATGCTTATGAATTGTAATGCTTTTCATACATATAAATGCTTATAAATGCTTATAAATGAAATATGAATGAAATTAATAAATGGTTTATTAATACTTTAATAATCAAGCAACGCATTATAAAGTATGTATACAAAAAAAATGTATGCACGCATGACTGTAAGTCGCTTTGGATAAAAGCGTCTGCTAAATGGCATATTATTATTATTATTATTATTATTATTATTATTATTATTATTATTATTATTATTATTATAAAGTTAGCAGTATGTAACTTAATTCATTTTGTTGTGTTACAGCCTGAATTTAAAACTGATTAAATTGAGAAATGTTGTGTCACTGGCCTACACACAATACCCCATAAAAACAGTTACAGAGTTTAATGGCTGTGATAGGAGAAAACTGAGGATGCATCAACATTGTAGTTACTCCACAATACATACCTAAATGACGGAAGGAGAAGGAAACCTGTACAGACTAAAAATATTCCAAAACTGCAAAAACTGTGGCAAAGAAATGTACTTTATTTATTGAATACAAAGCATTACGTTTGGGGCAAATCCAACACAACACTGAGTACCACTCTTAATATTTTCAAGCAGGGTGGTGGCTGCATCATGTTATGGGTATGCTTGTCATCGGCAAGGACTAGGGAATTTTTATGAATACAAAGAAACGGAATAGAGTTAAGCACAAGCAAAATGCTAGAGGAAAACCTAGTTCAGTCTGCTTTCCAACAGATACTGGGAGACAAATTCACCTTTCAGTAGGACAATAACATAAAGCACAAGGCCAAATACAGTGGGGGGAAAAAAGTATTTAGTCAGCCACCAATTGTGCAAGTTCTCCCACTTAAAAAGATGAGAGAGGCCTGTAATTTTCATCATAGGTACACGTCAACTATGACAGACAAATTGAGGAAAAGAAATCCAGAAAATCACATTGTAGGATTTTTAATGAATTTATTTGCAAATTATGGTGGGAAATAAGTATTTGGTCACCTACAAACAAGCAAGATTTCTGGCTCTCACAGACCTGTAACTTCTTCTTTAAGAGGCTCATCTGTCCTCCACTCGTTACCTGTATTAATGGCACCTGTTTGAACTTGTTATCAATATAAAAGACACCTGTCCACAACCTCAAACAGTCACACTCCAAACTCCACTATGGCCAAGACCAAAGAGCTGTCAAAGGACACCAGAAACAAAATTGTAGACCTGCACCAGGCTGGGAAGACTGAATCTGCAATAGGTAAGCAGCTTGGTTTGAAGAAATCAACTGTGGGAGCAATTATTAGGAAATGGAAGACATACAAGACCACTGATAATCTCCCTCGATCTGGGGCTCCACGCAAGATCTCACCCCGTGGGGTCAAAATGATCACAAGAACGGTGAGCAAAAATCCCAGAACCACACAGGGGGACCTAGTGAATGACCTGCAGAGAGCTGGGACCAAAGTAACAAAGCCTACCATCAGTAACACACTACGCCGCCAGGGACTCAAATCCTGCAGTGCCAGACGTGTCCCACTGCTTAAGCCAGTACATGTCCAGGCCCGTCTGAAGTTTGCTAGGGTGCATTTGGATGATCCAGAAGAGGATTGGGAGAATGTCATATGGTCAGATGAAACCAAAATATAAACTTTTTGGTAAAAACTCAACTCGTCGTGTTTGGAGGACAAAGAATGCTGAGTTGCATCCAAAGAACACCATACCTACTGTGAAGCATGGGGGTGGAAACATCATGCTTTGGGGCAGTTTTTCTGCAAAGGGACCAGGACGACTGATCCGTGTAAAGGAAAGAATGAATGGGGCCATGTATCGTGAGATTTTGAGTGAAAACCTCCTTCCATCAGCAAGGGCATTGAAGATTAAACGTGGCTGGGTCTTTCAGCATGACAATGATCCCAAACACACCGCCCGGGCAACGAAGGAGTGGCTTCGTAAGAAGCATTTCAAGGTCCTGAAGTGGCCTAGCCAGTCTCCAGATCTCAACCCCATAGAAAATCTTTGGAGGGAGTTGAAAGTCCGTGTTGCCCAGTGACAGCCCCAAAACATCACTGCTCTAGAGGAGATCTGCATGGAGGAATGGGCCAAAATACCAGCAACAGTGTGTGAAAACCTTGTGAAGACTTACAGAAAACGTTTGACCTGTGTCATTGCCAACAAAGGGTATATAACAAAGTATTGAGAAACTTTTGTTATTGACCAAATACTTATTTTCCACCATAATTTGCACATAAATTCATTAAAAATCCTACAATGTGATTTTCTGGAGAAAAAAAATCTCATTTTGTCTGTCATAGTTGACGTGTACCTATGATGAAAATTACAGGCCTCTCTCATCTTTTTAAGTGAAAATTACAGGCCTCTCTCATCTTTTTAAGTGGGAGAACTTGCACAATTGGTGGCTGACTAAATACTTTTTTCCCCCACTGTATACACTGGAGTTGCTTACAAAGACGACATTGAATGTTCCTGAGTGTCCTAGTTACAGTTTTGAGACTTGAAAATGGAGACTTGAAAATAGCAATGATCAACAACCAATTTGACAGAGCTTGAAGAATTTTTATAATGCACACATATTGTACAATTCAGGTGTGCAAAGCTCTTAGAGACTTAAAAAAAGACTCAAAGCTGATGTAATCACTGCCAACAATGATTGACTCAGGGGTGTGAATACTTAAGTAAATTAGATATTTCTGTATTTCATTTTCAATAAATGTGCAACATTTTCTAGAAACATGTTTTCACTTCGTCATTATGGGGCATTGTGTGTAGATGGGTGAGAAATTTGGATTTCGGGCTGTAACACAACAAAATGTAGAATAAGTCAAGGGGTATGAATACTTTCTGAAGGCACGGTACATGTACATGTTGAAGTAGGTCTATGAATTTCAATTTCAAACATGTGTAGCTGCCCTAAGATTGTCATTTGATATTCCAGCATTTCCAGAGGCTCCTGTCATATCAGGCTACGACCATCTTCTCTTGGGCCAGACCAACACTCTGACATGTGAGGTGACAGACGCTTATCCCGCGGAGTACCTGCGGCTTGAGTGGCTGCGAGGAGACAGGATGCTCCAGACAAACGCAGAGTCGGTTGTATCTACCTACAGGTTCACGCCCACCTCAGAGGACAAAGAGGCAAGCATCACATGCAGAGCCTCTCACGATCAGGATGGTGTGCCTGATGATGAAAAGACCAAGGAAACCACTGTCTCTCTCACAGTGCTTTGTAAGTTACTAAAGTATAAATGTTAGACAAAGGGTCATCTCTGTTAACCCAGAAGTAAAATCTTGCGTAATGCGCAATTAATTTCTGTGTTCATATGTGTTAGAAATTGAGAGTTCAGGCAAAAACGAAGTCTCCACCCTCACAAAAGGAAATCCCCCCCCCCCCCCCCCCCCCCCCTCCCAGCACCACCTTCGCCAAATCCTATGTCCAAATAACCAGTGACAAAACACAGAAACTGGAACTAATGCTGCTTATTATCTCACACATCCCATTAAGTCCCTGCAGATTCTTCGGCCTGCATGCAATAGGAGATTAGGCAAAGGGAAGTTGCTGCTGTGTCCAATACTGTTGAGTTTACAGTGATGGGTAGACTAGTGATAGATCGATGCATGGTTGACATTATATGAATAATATAAATATGGTCCCTAAAAGCACTGATCTTAAATTCAGTGTGGTTTAGGCAGTTATTCGGCAACGACTGAATTTGATCCATAGTTCACGACTGATAGCTTTCGAGAACCCAAGGAAGCCCAAGGTGGTGTACAGCAGGTCTCCATCTTGGGTTCTCAGTTGATGGTATGGAGGACAGCTGGTTCCAGTGAACTACAATACGGTTTGGAAACATTTGGAACTTAACTTTCATAACAGCAACAAAATAATCTTTAAAATACAAAAGATACACTTACTGTGCGCAGTTTAGCAATTAGTAATGTCTCAATGGAATGCAATGGAATTTGAGTCATGAATAAGGGTTAGATTGAGGATAACCTACAACAACCACATCAAAAATGTATTCTTAATTTTTTCCAGATGCGCCACAGAATATGTCAATATCTGAGGCGACTGCTGTGAGAGTTGGCTCCAGTCTCACATTGTCGTGCCATGCTGAAGGGAACCCCAGACCAGATACACAGTGGAAGGCCTTTGGTCCAGATGGACAGGCTGTTATAGTGGGGCAGAGCGAAGAGCTTGTCCTTACAGAGATTACACTGGTGGATTCTGGTCAATATGAGTGTGTGGCAAGCAACACCGTTGGAAACATCACAGCCAGCGTGAATGTCATTGTTCAAGGTAGGATAACTTTGAATTTCTCCTTGGTCTTGTATTTTAATTCATTACTGTTTGGTGTCATTCTGTGATAGTTTAATAGTTAGGAGTAATCTTTATAGCTTTGTCTAAATCTCAATTAAGTAACGTCTAAACTAGCAAGCTAAAGTTTTGTCTTGTGTTCTCTATCCTGGATGATTTCCCTTCTGGCAGCTCCCCCAACCAACACCACCATCACAGTGAGCCCAGCCAGTGAGGTAAAGGAAGGGGAGAGCGTGATGGTGTCCTGCCTGTCAGACGGAGCTCCGGTGGGACGTATGGTGCTGAGGAGACTCTCTGAGGACCAGGATGTAGAACTCCAGTCCAGCAATGGCTCCTCCACCTCCTTCACCCTCTCCTCTGCCCTGCTAGCAGACTCTGCTCTCTACCAGTGCGAGGCCTTCAATGAACACGGCAGTCAGAAAGTCAGCGCCTTGCTCTCCGTTGAAGGTGAGATTTTTTTAAACATTTGGGTAACATTACATTAGACTTAATGCTTTTGCGCAGTAGTTACTATAACTACTTTAGTAACCAGATTAGAATTATGTAATTGGAGCTTTGTTCATGAAACAATGGCAGGATACTAATAATGGAAACTGGCCAAATTATTTTTTCAAAATAGTTACTTGGTTACAGTTTATTACATGTAATTATACCCAAGTAACTGCATAATATATTTCAATGTAAAGTGTAACCTAAATACAGTATGTACTGTTCTGCAAAAAGGTCACCAGTATGTCTGGGTGGTTGTCCTTCAGTTGAACTATAAGAATGAACAGAATGTTACCTTAGTCATGTGTATGTAAAAGGCATGTCTTGTCGGAAAGGGGGAATTTGTCTTATTAAACATTAAACATTTCAATACCAAACGTATTGAAACCCCAAATTCTCTGTGGAGCAAACAGTGTTGCGTCACCAGGCCAGTAGGTTCCCCTCTGTGTACAAGAGCCATAGAACAGTGGCATAGCAGAAATAGTAAATGACTGTTCACACGCGTACAGACGTTTGAGAGACTCTCCAATGTGGATTGCTGCTCTTTTTACTCTGAGGATATGCTTCACACCTCCAGGTAAGATGAGATAAGTACAGGAGCTATTCAGAGTAATAGTTAAGTTAACCCATACTGTGATTGAGTAGATGATAAGAGCGTTGGGCCAGTAACTGAAAGGTCGCTTGATCGAATCCCTGAGCTGACTAGGTGAAAAATCTGCCGATGTGCCCTTGAGCAAGGCACTTGGCAAAATGTTCATTGTGTTACCCTTCAGATAATTTTTATGATGAAACTTTACTTTGTGATGTATCTTCACTCTTTTTAATATACTGTAATGTTTGCCTTGTTTTTTCTGTTGTGGATTAAGATGTAAAGATATTTGATTTTGCTAAGAGTTTTTCTTGCAGGATAGTGGATTGGTTTTAATTTAATTCAATTAACTGAACTGAATTTAACCGAAATGGAACAGAATCAAATTGAACTGAATTGATCTCTATTCAACTGAACTGAGCATAGAAATGGCGACGTCATCTATCCTCTCTCCTGTGGTTGTATTCTATCAGCGTATCCCCTGGAGGTGACGATTGATGTGGGGGTGACGGCTGAGATGGGATCCAACCTGGTGCTCTCCTGCCGGGCTTCGGGCTGTCCCCAGCCAGCCTTCCACTGGAGGAGCATGCTGGACATGCCCGTCGATAGCCGTGCACACACCCAGGACTCCCTCTCCCAGCTCCACCTGGGCCCACTTGGGCTGGTCAACGAGCAAGCCTACACCTGTGAGGCCAAGTGTGGCTCTGTCATCAAGGCCAAGCACACTGAGGTCAAGGTCTTCTGTGAGTATACTATACATCATCAGAAAGACGGCTTGGTTTAGTTCACTGTATTTGCTTTGAAACGTGCTATGCATCAGCCACCTTTTTACAGGAGTCCAATGCCAGATTGATATAATGAATTCAAGCTTATTTGGAAATGTCTAGTTGAAAACAAAGTTAGTTGGGGTTGTGTGTTATTTGCCTTACACTTGTTCAGTGGTACCAGGGCCTGGCACATTCAATTCTACAGGTTTATGTTGATATAGTAACTGTTTGGCTCAGTTTTGGGTAATGCTTAGGGTCACTTCACTGACTTGGAAAGAGTACAGTGACCCTTTGTAGGAGGTTAGAAGAATACTCCTCTTATGAAACCAAACGTAAGACTTCAAGCTTGAATGATCACTCTGCTGCTCTCCTGCACAACATGGGCAGAGGTCCAGTTTGCTTTTGTGGGAATGCACTGGGATCAGTAGTCTGGTTCAATGTGGGAGAGAGATCACCAAGAAGTGATGAATGATGAAAGCACTCCAGGGTCACTGAAGTGAAGACATTTCATACTTCCTGTATGTGAAAGTGATTGTGTTGAAGGGGGTACGGGATGCTGCATTCTAGGTCTTTGACTCATGATTATATCCAGAGGGATGTTTCGCAAATTGTGTGGATTAATGCCTCCCTTACTGGAAGTCTTTTAAAAGTCTGGTATCTTATGGAAATGTGTCAGGTCCCGACATTCGGATCTGAAACACATTTACATTTTAGTCATTTAGCAGACGCTCTTATCCAGAGCGATCAGTTAGTGAGTGAATACATTTTCATACTGACCCCCCGTGGGAAACGAACCCACAACCCTGGCATTGCAAGCACCTCATATTTTAACCTATATTTAAAGGGTCTACTGTTTAACATGCCTGACTAACTCGCTCACATCTCTGTCTGGTCTCATGTTCTTTTAGTCACATATTGATATTTTCATCTCCCATTGCTCTCTCCTCCCCCAGCTTTCCCCTCGGACCCTATCATCGAGAACGCTGGCCCCTTTCTGGAACACAGGGTAGCCACTTTTTATTGTTCGGTAGCCGACGTCTACCCAGCCAGTCACTTGCAGATCCAGTGGCTCGATGGGGAAACTGAGCTACACTCCGAGGTGGGTCAGTACTCCAGTGAGCTCCAGAATGTGACGTCAACGCTATCTTTCTCGGTTGGACCGGAGGACCAGGGCAGACAGATCACCTGCAGAGTCAGTCTTCAGATGGACGAAGTCCCTCAGAGTGGGAGAGAGAGACAGGCGGTGACTGTTCTGGAGCTCCACTGTAAGGGGTTTTACAGATCATTCAAGTGTGAATAAAATCATTAACTTATTTTATGGCCATGGGGTGGATAAGGATTGTGACGGTCCTGGAGAGCCACAAGGTGGTACAGGATTTTGTTCCGCCCCAGCATTTTAACTCACCGGATTCCACACATTGTGTTCTGAAGGGAGGACCATGTACAGTTAATTGCTTGAATCACTTTTGTTTATGCTGGGGTGTCCACCCCCGTGGTGCCTTCAACTTAGGGAATCCGTTATACCGAACTTCAGTACTTGAGGTGTGAATGGCAGTTGTGTAGTGAGGGTTTATGAAGCCTTATAACCTATGTCTGTGTTTATAAACCTAAACTAAGTCGGATGTTTGCTGTGCAGATGCCCCCAGGGGAACCACCATCAAAGTGAGCCCAGCCAGTGAGGTAAAGGAAGGGGAGAGCGTGTCGGTGTCCTGCCTGTCAGACGGAGCTCCGGTGGGACGTATGGTGCTGAGGAGACTCTCTGAGGACCAGGATGTAGAACTCCAGTCTAGCAACGGCTCTTCCACCTCCTTCACCCTCTCCTCTGCCCTGCTAGCAGACTCTGCTCTCTACCAGTGTGAGGCCTTCAATGAGCACGGCAGCCAGAGAGCTAACACACACATTACAGTTAAAGGTGGGTGCCAGGCTTCAGGCAAGTACACACCTCATTATCTCTTTATTCTTCTCCCAGGCAACAACAGTAAACTTTCCCTAACCCTGGTTAGGTTTTTTTTTGCTTCTTCAATGAAGTTACTGGTTTTTCGCTTCTTGTTTACAGTCTTGTATTTGCTCTCGTTTGTTGGAGTGTGGCCTTTCCATTGTCATGTGGCAGCTGCAGTGGTGTAAAGTACTTAAGTAAAAATACTTTAAAGTATTACTTAAGTATTTTTGGGGGGGTATCTGTACTTTACTATTTATCTTTTTGCCAACTTTTACTTTTACTTCATTACATTTCTAAAGAAAATAATGTACTTTATACTTTGCTTTATCTTGGCCAGGTCGCAGTTGTAAATGAGAACTTGTTCTCAACTGGCTTACCTGGTTAAATAAAGGTGATTTTTTTTTTTTTTTATATTTAACTCCATACATTTTGATTGTCCAATTCACACACTTCTCAAGAGAACATCCCTGGTCATTCCTACTGCCTCTGATCTGATGGACTCACTAAACACAAATGCTTTGTTTGTAAATTATGTCTGAGTGTTGGAGTGTGCCCCTGGCTATCCGTAAAAAAAAAGAAGTAATAATAAATTGTGCCGTCGGGTTTGCGTAATATAAGGAATTTGAAATTATTCATACATGTACTTTTACTTTTGATACTTAAGTATATTTAAAACCAAATACTTTTAGACTTTTACTCAAATAGTATTGTACTGGGTGACTTTCACTTTTACTTGAGTAATTTTCTATTAAGGTATCATACTCAAGTATGACAATTGAGTACTTTTTCCACCACTGGGCAGCTGTCAGTATCTAAGAACATGCTCTATAAGCCAGTCATTGGCTGAGCTGTTGTCACACTGTACCAAAATAGAATATCACACTTATACCACACTTAACATTGCACAGGAACTCAACAACATGAAATGACAAAAGTAATTCTAGATAATGAGTTCTATAGGATACGTCTCATTGATATTTCACACATTGTTGTCAGTAGTTCCACACATTTTGCTCAGTAATCAACAATATAACGGACGGTAATGGTACACATGAACAAAAGTATGTGGACACCTGCTCGTCGAACATCTCATTCCAAAATCATGGGCATTAATATGGAGTTGGACCCCCCTTTGCTGCTGTAACAGCGTCTATTCTTCTGGGAAGGCTTTCCACTAGATGTTGGAACATTGCTGCGGGGACTTGCTTCCATTCAGCCACAAGAGCATTAGTGAGGTCAGGCAGTGATGTTGGGCGATTAGGCCTGGCTCACAGTCGGCGTTCCAATTCATCCCAAAGGTGTTCGATAGGGTTGAGGTCAGGGCTCTGTGCAGGCCAGTCAAGTTCTTCCACACCGATCTCGACAAACCATTTCTGTGTGGACCTCGCTTTGCACGGGGGCAATGTAATGCTGAAACAGGAAAGAGCCTTCCCCAAACTGTTGCCACAAAGTTGGAACCACAGAATCGTCTAGAATGTCATTGTATGCTGTAGTGTTAAGTTTTCCCTTCACTGGAACTAAGGGGCCTAGCCCGAAACATGAAAAACAGCCCCAGACCATTATTCCTCCTCCACCACACTTTACAGTTGGCACTATGCATTGGGGCAGGTAGCGTTCTCCTGGCATCCGCCAAACCCAGATTTGTCCGTCGGACTGCCAGATGGTGAAGCGGGATTCATCACGCCAGAGAACGCGTTTCCACTGCTCCAGAGTCCACAGCGGCGAGCTTTACACCACTCCAGCCGATGCTTGGCATTGCGCATGGTGATCTTAGGCTTGTGTGCAGCTGCTTGGCTCCATTTCATGAAGCTCCAGACGAACAGTTCTTGTGCTGACGTTGCTTCCAGAGGCAGTTTGGAACTCAGTAGGGAGTGTTGCAACCGAGGACAGACGATTTTTACGTGCTACGCGCTTCAGCACTCGGCAGTCCCGTTCTGTGAGCTTGTGTGACCTACCACTTCGCGGCTGAGCCGTTGTTGCTCCTAGACGTTTCCACTTCACAATAACAGCACTTACAGTTGACCGGGACAGCTCTAGCAGGGCAGAAATTTAACGAACTGACTTGTTGGAAAGGTGGCATCTTATGACGGTGCCACGTTGAAAGTCACTGAGCTCTTCAGTAAGGCCATTCTACTGCCAATGTTTGTCTATGGAGATTGCATGGCTGTGTGCTCGATTTTATGTACCTGTCAGCAACGGGTGTGGCTGAAATAGCTGAATCATTAATTTGAAGGGGTGTCCACATACTTTTGTATATATAGTGTATGTTGCATTGCAAACTGCCAATAGACCAAATGTCGTACGGTATTTCAAGGCAGTCTCAAATGTCTTCCCTCAGTATTGAAGTGTGTTCTATTTGCCTTGTGTCCAGCACCTCCTAGGAACACAACAGTCATGATATATCCATCCGCTGAGGTGCAGGAGGGCCAAAATGTCACCATCTGCTGTCGCTCTGTTAGTTTCCCCCCACCTGCTGTGGTTTTAAGGAAACTGGATAATGGCACAGAGCTCTACTCCCCAGATGGGAACTTCCTGCTGGTGAACCTTACTCCCAACGATACAGGCCTATACCAGGTGAATGTTACCAATGACCTGGGTTACGAGACCGAGATCTTCAGCATCAACGTCATAGGTGAGTGATGTGGTTCAGTGTTCGCTCTTTAGCTCGACATGCTAGAAGTTACAGGAAGAGAGCTCTTTATTTCCCTTCACCACAAATATAATTATATTTGTTATTATTATATAAAATATAATTCACAATAAAACCAGTTACTTGAAACCACTTTGAACCCCATGTTTAACTGAGAAATTGGGAACGGAGAGAACGGAGATGGAACTAACAATGTAATTTGAGAACAGTGAAGCTTGCAAAAGTCAAGAAAATTCCATCCACCAATAACAAACACTGGTGTCATTTGAGAGGACTCGAAAGCTGTAAAAACATCAAATCAAAACATTTGGCCAATCTGCCTCATCTTCACTGTCTACCTGTTCTTCCCCTCTTCCCTTGGCCTCCAGAGAATCACTCCAGTACTTCACCGGACTGGAACCAGATAGTCATTCCTGCTGTCTGCGTGGGTATCATGGTGACCACCATGGGCCTAGTCCTGGACCACCTGAGGAGAGCCAGGAGGAAGGGCTTCTATGAGCTGGCCAAGTGTAAGCCCGGCTCTGCATAGACTAGAGGAGTCTAAAACCTGCAGGCCGGGAGCCAGATTATGGCCCCCACTTGTGCTACCAACATGACCATTTACTGTATGTGTATCACGTAGGTGAGTGTTTTGTGCAGCCGTGCAAAAATGTTTCCTCAGGCAAAATGACTTACCTGGCATACCAAGGGACAGACTCACCTGGAGTGGAGAGGGAACAGACGAGAGGTTTGCCCATTGTCCAGTGTCCAGGTCTCCGTTGAAGGACAAGGCCGTATGACCTTTTGGATGTTACTAGAAGAGGAAAAAAGAAGTACCTTTAAGGATGTGTTGTCTTCTGGATGTGTGTGTATGTTTGAACCATTGACTTGCATATCCGTTGAGCCTTAGGTTCCCATTTATATTAAACCTAAGCTATAAGTCAGTAAAAGGTGTAATAATTGAACTGTCTGCATCTCACTATCATTTGCTCCTTCATCACTTCTTTATCACTTCTTGGCAGCTTTTGTTAAACCCATTGATGTCTAAGTGTCAAAACTATTGGATGAATGCAATATGTTACATGTATTAAACAAAATTCTCCAATTTGTAATTGGCTGTGATAAAAAGTTGCACTGTTTAACATGTTAATACAATGCATTTGAAATGTACAAATTAAATGAAGTTGTTATATCAGTATGAAATGTGCGATAGGACAGTTGTTCCCAACGAAAGGAAAAGTCAGTGTTGTGATAATTGTTTATAGGTCTTTCAAGATGGAATCTGCAGTAGGGGAAACAGCGCCACTGTCCACCCCACGGCCGTTGTTATTGTTTTTGTTTTGTTGACTAAGCAGAACTGAGGAGCGTCATAGTAACAAAAAAATGCAGTACATATGCTGCTGTTCTATCGCGGGTGCAATGATGTCCGAGGGAAAAAAACTGTGTTTGTTTGCATTAACTTATTTTGTTGTTGTAATATCGCAAACAGATGTGGCAGTTTCACCATTAAGGATTCCAGCTTTAATGTAGACACTTACTAGAAGTGTTTGCATGTGTGGAGAGGGTGCAATGTGCATGGGGTATTTTTGTCCCACACCATTTACTTTATTGCTGTGGGAAATTAGAGCCAGTTTGGTACGTGATTAAAGAAGCTGTTGTTTTTAAATCAAAACCTGTATAGAATGTATTTGTTATGTTTATGACTGTTCATTCTCACTTTATATGCTTTGAATATGTTTTGCCCTATTTTTATGTGAATTGTGTTTGAATTATTAATAAATATTTATTTATTAACTAAAAGCTGTTCATTGATATAGGAGCTTTGGATTTGGGGTCTCCAGTTGCAGTGGGGAAAGCCAAGGGACTTTTCAACAATTATCAGGTGCTTTTGTGCGAGTCACTCTGCTGTCCGTCTCATCCCAAACCATCTCAATTGGGTTGAGGTCGGGGGATTGTGGAGGCTAGGTCTTCTGATACAGCACTCCATCACTCTCCTTCTTGGTAAAATATCCCTTACACAGCCTGGAGGCTGTTGGGTCATTGTCCTGTTGAAAAACAATTGATAGTCCCACTAAGCGCAAACCAGATGGGATGTTTGTAGTAAGGACTAGTGAGCTGTATCCATCCAAATAACAGCTCTAATATTTTTCTGCATTTGGATATTTATGCAAATCTAGAGAATCCACCAAGTAGGTGTAGATATCGCCATAGCATAGGCTACTTTGTGCCATTTGGTAGGGTTGTCTCGCCAGCTGGTCTCCAGCAAGTTGAAAGGACATATAGGCAAGCCAACAAGAATAAACTTTTCTGAATACCTAGACCGTTCAAGCAGTTACGTGACATATCTAAGACTAGCGAATTAGATCAAGATTAATTTATCTCGCTAGCCAGCCAGCTAATGTCAGCTAACCTACAAAAAAGCTAGGGGTAAACAAACAGTGACGTAAGTATGATGTGACAGCTTTACTAGCTTTACTGTCAGTGTTACCAGGTCGGGTAACAAATTAGTGGCAGAATAAGTATAATGTAAATCATTTGTTGTTGTGACAGCCAATGTTTATTGAAACAACACAAAAGTGTCAGTAGTTTGCTTAGGATGCCGCCAAAACATTTTTTTAATGTTCTTTTACAGCCCTATTTATTTTAGTATGTACAACAGCTAGCAATCTTTAGTATGTACAACAGCTAGCAATCTGGTTGAATGTTCCAGGCAGGTTCCAGAATGTTCTGGTGAACCTGTCGAGGAAATTCTTACACAGTGTCGTGGAAATTACCACTAGAGACACTCGAAGTCAATCTTAAATGAATGATTGTTTATTGTCAGCGCGCTGGAGAGGTTCCAACAAACTTAATGCACCATAGTGAACGTCTGTCAGAAGCTCTGCTGGGGCAGTCCCTGCAGTTATCTTATAAACGGCTATACTAAGACAAGTTACATTTGCATGATTTAGCATAATTATTTCAACATTACCGTTTTGTTTCATTCATGCGACAGACCAATACTGGTTCATAACATGTGACAGGCCAGTACCTCACAAGGCTTCATCTCTCTAAGCTGAGACCTTGAAACTGAGATATCTTTCGTTCTCACAACAAAGGTCTTGGCGTACTGCCAAATTGCAGCTACTGATAGTGAGGTTTGTTCAGTCAGACACTTGCATGAACACAGAGCATGAACACAGAAATTGGTTTACAGAAAAGCACAAACATAGAAATTGGTAGATAGAAAAACACCAACATTAAAATGTCCATCACAAACCTCTTATCTATTCTTCATTACAGGGAACATTGATTTTCTCAATTACATAGTGAAAAGAGCCCAAGGTGTCTTACACAATCAGATTGCATGTTCAGAGAATTCTAGTAGACTGAGGATGTCACACCAAACTAAACTGTGGAATCATTGGGTTTCAACGTCATTAGTGTCCATAAAAAGCTTCCATGTTCTGTCTTTAAAGGTTACTTTAAATGATGGCCATTGATGTCTTTAATCAAACGTATGTTAAGCCCCCATAGGCACTGATAGTCGTTCTCAATGCGCTTAATATGGCGAACAAATCAGGGTGGACAAATCAGGACAAAGCATTGCTGCTTTAACAAGCCTGTATCATGTTCCCAGCTCCTTTCTTCAGCACATTGTCTATTGATTTTATTTTCCCTTTCCTCCATATTGGCCAGTCGCCATGGAAACAGTCACAATGCCTGGCTTCAGAAGGGAAGACGGGTGTCGGGGTTGTTAATACCCAGATGACAAAGACAACCCCAGAGGACAAAGACGTGTGAGAGAGTAGGGGAGGTACAAATGGAACATTGTGGTCTGTCTTGGAGAGGTGGCAAAGTAGGTTTCTCCAGGCCACTGATGTCTTCCAAATATACAGAGAGTGAGAGACCCATTGGTAGCGGACCATGTTAGGGGTGAAGAGGAGCTCCTTGGGTGTAGGTCTATTTTGGGATCATATGGATCCAAAGAGTAAGGGTTAAAAATTCAATTTTGCTGAATGGGTTAACAATGCATGTTGCTGAATGCGAAATGAATTAGTGTTCACAAGCAGTTCCAATGGAAGACATTTACTGTTCACCTTCATTAAGTTGAAATACTGCTCTTAATTTATAAAGACTACCGGTCAAACGTTTTAGAACACCTACTCATTCAAGGGTTTTTCTTTATTTTTACTATTTTCTACATTATAGAATAATAGTGAAGACATCAAAACCATGAAATAACACATATGGAATGGAATCATGTAGTAACCAAAAAACTGTTAAACAAATCAAAATATAGGCTGAGCATTCACCCTTGTGGGGGCCCAGTGTTGAGGATCAGCGAAGTGGAAATGTTGTTTCCTATCTTCACCACCTGGGGGCGGCCCGTCAGGAAGTCCAGGACCCAAATGCACAGGGCGGGGTTCAGACCCAGGGCCTCGAGCTTAATGATGAGCTTGGAGGATACTATGGTGTTGAATGCTGAGCTATAGTCAATGAACAGCATTCTTACATAGGTATTTCTCTTGTCCAGATGGGATAGGGCAGTGTGCAGTGTGATGGCGATTGCATTATCTGTGGATTTATTGGGGCGGTAAGCAAATTGAAGTGGGTCTAGGGTGACAGGTAAGGTGGGGGTGATATGATCCTTGACTAGCCTCTCAAAGCACTTCATGATGACAGAGGTGAGTACTACGGGGCGATAGTCATACCTTTTCTTTCTTGGATAAAGGAACAATTGTGGCCATCTTGAAGCATGTGGGAACAGCAGACTGGGATAGGGAGAGATTGAATATGTCAGTAAACACACCAGCCAGCTGATCTGCGCATGCTCTGAGGACGCGGCTAGGGATGCCATCTGGGCCGGCAGCCTTGCGTGGGCTAACATGCTTAAATGTCTTACTCACGTTGGCCACGGAGAAGGAGAGCCCACAGTCCTTGGTAGTGGGCAGCGTCGGTGGCACTGTGTTATCCTCAAAGCGGGCGAAGAAGGTGTTTAGCTTGTCTGGAAGCGAGACGTCGGTGTCGGCGAATTGGCTGGTTTTCCTTTTGTAGTACGTGATTGTCTGTAGACCCTGCCACATACGTCTCGTGTCTGAGACGTTGAATTGCGACTCCACTTTGTGTCTCTACTGATGTTTTGCCAGTTTAATTGCCTAGAGGAGTGAATAGCTACACTGTTTGTATTCTGTCATATTCCTAGTCACCTTGCCATGGTTAACTGCGGTGGTTCGCGAGTGCTGCCATCTATCCACGGTTTCTGGTTAGGGTAGGTTTTAATAGTCACAGTGGGCACAACATCTCCTATACACTTCCTGATAAACTCAGTCACTGTTTCAGTGTATTCGTCTAATGACCCAAAACACAGCCTGGAGGTGTGTTTTGGGTCATTGTTCTATTGAAAAACAAATGATAGTCCCACTAAGCCCAAACCAGATGGGAATGCTGTGGTAGCCATGCTACTAAATAAATCACAGACAGTGTCACCAGCAAAGCACCCCCACACCGTAACAACTCCTCCTCCATGCTTTACGGTGGGAAATACACACGCGGAGATCATCTGTTCAC